ATTCCCCAGCCAGCATGGCTGGCTGGGGAATTCTGGGAGTTGAAGTCCATCCATCTTCAAGCAGCCAAGGGTGAGAAATGCTGGTATCATCCATTCTTTTGCAAAAAAGGAATGCCACCTTGGAAATGAAAATGTGAAAGTGAGCTGTTTCAGTCTGATGTAATGATTCTTAGGCTAGCTTGGGATATACATCTAAACAACTTAGCATAATTAATTCATTATTGTACATTTAATATAGGGGTCATTTTCTTTCTTCTCTCTCCTCCTCTGAACTTTTAGGTACTCCCTCAAGGATACTTCAGCCAGGAGAAGGTAGTTACCATAAAAAAGGACCCCAAGGAGTCTCTGGGAATAACCATAGGAGGTGGAAGAGATATTAAAGCAAAACTCCCTATTTATGTAACCAGTGTCCAGCCTGTTGGATGCCTCTTCAGGGATGGGAGAATTAAGAAAGGTAGGATAGTCTTTTTTTAAAAAAAATTTGGCGATTCAGCTACCACTGAGATAGGGAATGATGCCTTCATGAATTTGCAAAGATTATAAGGAATCCAGCTAGGAAGCTACATTTTGTACCAAAGTGTTAGTGACAATCCATCTCCTTCCGATTCCTGTAACAGGAGATATTCTTTTGAGCATCAACAATATCGATTTGACTCACCTGAATTACAACGAAGCTGTCTCTGCTCTGAAATCCAACGCGGCGCTGCAGACGGTGGTACTGAAAGTGCTTGAGGTGGTAATCCCAGAGAAGGCATCTGAAGGCGCTGAGATGCTTGACAGCAGGGAAAACGGGCTCAGCTGGGCAAGCTGGTCTCCTCTCTGGATCACGTGGCTTGGATTGCCGAGGTAAGTCTGCCTGTTTGGTGTTGGCAACGGGAACGTTCCCGGTAATTGCTTCCTGCTTCTGTTAGCCTGATTGACAGAACTGTGTAATGCTTTAGGGCAGGGCTCCTCAACCGCAGCAACTTTAAGATGGGTGGGCTTCAACTCCCAGAATTCCCCAGCCTCCTAAGCGTTCCTAGAATGCCGCTGGAGTTAAACACACGTGTTATGCTTGAATCAAAAACCTGTCCTTTAGAGCCTTCTCCTTAGAATGAAGTTCTAAAATTGAGAAGATTGAAAAGACAGACATGCAGCTCTACCGGCCTTTCCCCACGGTTGTGCTTAAGCCCTGCTCACCCTTCCTTGAATCCACACAAAACACTGTCTTCATTAACCCCCTTCCTTTTCTTGTTCCCTTTTGTTCCAAGTCTCTGCTATAGTCCATGAACCTGATTTGTGAGTGTGCTGGTTGTACAGGCAAGGCAACTGAGTTTCTCCTGTGGCTTTTCTTGCGCCCTTTCTTAGCAGGCCATGAGGCAGGAAGGAAAACAGCCCCCAATCAGGCCATTGCAGTAGAATTGGGGAGGATTCTGCCTGGGCTTCTCTAGGCTGGCTTGTATGTCCCTCCTTCCAAACCCCGCTTAGGCATCTTCCAAGTTGACCTAATGTGCAATAATGAAACACGGGAAGTCATCAGGGCAGACCTTGCCTTGAAGGAAGGAGATGAACCTTGGCGTGATGGTGAGCAGGTAAAGCCCGTGGAATGGAATAACTGAGGCTCACTGTCTGCTAGACAACCATCTCTTTATGGCGAGGTGGGTGTTTGCGTGATAGTGATTGAAGCCAGCAAACACAGGGAAACTGGAAAATAAGCTACAGAAGCCTGGTTTGACAGCCCTTACTATTTTCTGCAGTGAATGTTACCTGGGATATCTGCAGAACCGTCTGTTTCAAAGGGATTCTACCCACCAGGTGCACTTGTCCTAGTTGGGTACAGTGCAGGTTCCTCTCCCACAGGAGGATCAGGGGACAGCGAGACACACGTGTCTTTCTGTGGTAGCGCCATCCTAGAAATCTGGATGGCACGTTTGCTCCCGAACTTCAGGAGGCCCTTGAAAGTGAAGCTACTCAGGAGGGTGTTTGAGGGTTGACTTCGGGTCAGTGGATGCCTATTTATACGAATTTTAACTGTAATGTTGATGTTGCGATTCTGTTGGTCAGTGATTTATTTTGTTGGTTGTTGATCTGTTGTGTTTTGTTTTTAATTGTGCACTGCCTTGAGTCCTCGTGGAGTGTGATGGCATAAAAATATAGATAGATAAATAAAGCAGAGGTGCTGCATCTGCATCAAGGTCTTCAGAAACACTATTTCAGAGTACTGTTAATGCAGAATTGTGCAGATATATCTATAAAAAAGGTGGGATAAATAACAACAACAACATTGGCATTGACAAAATCACCCTCAGTCCATTGCCAAAGGCAGATTTACTTGGAACAGCTTCCATCCTGCGACAAGACCTTTAACCCCATCAGACAACCGCAACTGCCTATCCCAGGTCCTTGGGAAGGACTCAGTAGGAGGATAAAGATGCCAAATCCAGTCTAAACATCTGGCTGACTGTGCAACCAACCATAGTAATAATAATCTCATTCTCCAAGTAAAACAGTGGCACTCTGATACTGTTCAGAACTGGTATCAATTGGAGGGCATAGAAGCCTAGTAAAATACAGCAAAGGAACTGTTAATACACATATTTCTCCCCCAAATAAAACAGCAAAGGTTTCTTCTATTTCGTTAGAAGGATGCAAAGAAGTTTATTTCTATATTAGGGAGGGGATGAGGTGATAAATCTGAAAGGATTTTAGGAAATGTGTTAGCAAAAAATCCAAAGGAATCCGCTTAACAGTTTTTTGGACTAACACGTTTTTATTAAAAAGGCATATGCTTTTGTGAGCTGTTAGCTCACTGTATCAGATGCAGGTCACCAAAGCTTATGCCCTTTAATAAAATTTGTTACCAAAAGAGGTGCTGCCACACTCCTGATTTTTTGCTACCATAGACTAACACAGCTTTCTTCCTATAATGTAGGAAACTTAGTGCTAACTGAGAAGGCCTGTTTTGTGGAAAAGGCTGAACGGTTAGGAAGGGGCATGCCAGGGCCTCCCAGCATTTCCAGAATATATCACTGATCACAACTACAACAAATCACCCATCTTCACTTCCAAGATAATGGATGATAAAGCATTATAAATTTTAGACAACTTGAAGCTATAGCGGGATACTGTCGCCTGAGCAGAGAGAATCCTGGTTTAATAGTGGTATACCTAATGACAGCTTAAGGCTGTTTCATTCATGGGCTGGGGGTATGTTGTGTGAGTAAGGAAGAAGACTGGTGTCAGGTCAGGATGGCGCGAGAGTAAACTGCAAGTGGAAGTGGGCACAAGTCTTGGTTTTCTCCCTGTTGTCCATTTTGAGTGACCAGGTAAGGTTTGAGTTCTGTATGAAGATTAAAGCATGAGTAGAATTGCACTGATCCATTTTGTCTTAGCAGCAGAAACTGTTTGGAGAGTGGGGCAGTTTTTGTGGTTTAAACAGACCACAAAAATATTCCCTAAAAAAACTACAGAAATTCAGGTTCCTTTTGGGTATAATGACAAATTTGGCTTTGTAGCTATTCTTTCTTCTCTATCCATAATGACCATAATGACCACTATTAAACCAGGATTCTCTCCATAATGAGCAGTGATCTATGATACTACCCTATTGCGTGGAATGAGGCTTGGATACAACGAATATAGTGATAAAATATCAAATATCTGTCTAATTACACATCAGAAGGCCGAGGCTGGCATTTTAAGCCCAAACCTTTATGTGATGTTGCATCTACTGAATTTCGAATATAGAAAAGTACCAGTGCTGGATTCTGAAGACAGTGGTGATGTTCTTTTCTGAAAGCTGATCCTGTACAGCTAGTTAATTTCACTTGAGCTATTAACACACCAGTTGAGTTTCGGCAAGCCACCGTTCCAAGTTTCAGCTCTTAACTGCAGTGTTACTGGTTATCCAAAGGACTACTTAGGTTAAAGAAAAAAAAAATGCTTTACACCACCTGGCATGGCATAAGCTACGGTTTGAAAAAAACAGAGTGGCTGGCTTCATACAATACGTTTAGTCAAAACCAGTCAACCCACATTAAGGCTTAGCATGAGATGTGAAGCAGCTCAAGGGTGTGAAATGTTTTGAGCACTTATGCTATTAAACCCCCTTGAATTTAGATCTAAAAATTAATCGAAAATGGACGTTGGCAACCAAAATAATCAACTCTTCTTATATTTGCCTTGTAGTATCTCAGTTTAAAAGACCACTAATTTTTCTCCATGGGAGGATTATTGACTATAAGTAATCCAAGAGATGAGCAAAAAAGGTCACATTGTGGGGCTGTGGGATTCCTTTCATTTAGTCTGTGTTGTGTTACTGCTCTGTTCTCCTAGATCAGAAGTTCTTAACCATTTTGTGCCGTGGACCTCTTTGCAAGTCATCCAAGTTCATGGGCCTCCTGAAATCCATCCCCAGTTAAGGACTTCTGTCCTGGCTTGTGTTATCTGATGGCTCTTCCATTTCTTCCTTCCCCGTGCCTGCTTGAGTATGAACTCAGGCAGTAATTTTGGAGGCACGCAGAGAGAAGAAGCCTCTGCTTTATTACAGCAGGAGCTATGATCTGATCCTGTTTCTCTCTCCCTCCACCCCTCCCATCTACACCCTGCTTGTTGATCTACACTGCTACCCTGTGGGGCTTTATGCAATCAGTCTGTCTAACGTTAAAAAAGCAGCACTGATTCTTGGAATATAGTCTTGCTTGTTCCTTTTTAATTTATCGGCTTTCTGTTTCACTTTAAAATGATTGTCACCAGTGTGGCTGCTGTGTGCCATGTTGGAACCAGTGCAGCCTCTGAGTTGGCAGTTGGCCACAGTACAAGGGCATGGTGTGTGGGAAATGATGTTGGCTCATTTTCAGAGAAGGGCTTTACGGAAAAAGGGTTCCCCCCAGTTGTTTGTATCAGCTCCCAGAATCAGGTGGGAGCAATAATCATGGGGAATTTTGAGGAACTGAAGTCTGGAGGTTGGGGGATCCTGGCTTTGTGCAATATAGGAACTCAGCCACAGGGTTTAGGTGAGCATTGTATTTGTATTAGTCATAGCTGTGGTTGTTTCTAAAGACGCAATCCCTTAGAAAGCCGAGATTTGATTCTCAGGCAAGAGCACTAATGGTAGCAGTTGTATTTATTCCAAGAGCTGAAATTGTAATACAGACCTGGCATTCCTATTTAGGTTATGCTGTCCCTGTAATGCTTCTTCCTTCTCGCTGCTGGAAGGTAAAAGATAACTCCATGGGACTGTTCTATCCAGAAAAGCGAAAAGCTTTTCTTTTGTTTTCTCTTTCAGTCACCTCCACTGCTGTCAAGATATCGTCTTGCATAAAAGCAACTCTGAGACCTGGGGATTCAGCATCGTGGGTGGATTTGAAGAAAGCAAAGGGAACCAGCCATTCTTCATTAAAACCATTGTGCCTGGAACGCCTGCCTTCTGGGATAGACGGCTGAAGTACGTGCTTTCTTGCTTCTGCTGATTGGGTTTTCCGTTTGAGAGTCAGTTTGGTGTAGTGGTTAAAGACACCAGGCTGGAAACTGAGAGACTGTGAGTTCTAGTCCTGCCTTAGGCACAAAGCCAACTGGGTGACTTGGGACCAGTCATCTCTCTCAGCCCTAGGAAAGAGAGGGGAAGGGCAGGCCACTGTCACATTCTAAAAAATGTTGCTGAGAAAACTACAGGGGCTAGTCTAGGCGGTCGCCAGAAATCAAGATTGATGTGGAAAAAAGAAAAGTTTGCTGTTGCTTGAAGATTTCCCCAGAACATGCAAAAATTTAGGCTGCCTCTGCCTCTAAGAGCAGGGCTTGGAGGTGTGGCTTATACATGCGACTCAGCTGCCTTTTCATGACTTTGCAGCAATGCCTGGAAAGGAAGTGCAGTTTCCCCTCTCTCTTTCCTAAAAAGATGCAGAAAGGGCGACTTGCTGTGCAGCATGTAAGAAACAAGGCTGCAATTTATCGAGAGGTACAGCCATCTTTAGAAGCTGTACTACTCGCCCGTAGTAAACCCATTTGCGATGCGGAGTTAGTGTGCCAGTTGGCCTGAAAACCTTCGAGCTGGATTTTTGTTTTGATGTTTGTTTTGGGACACGTAGTGAACATTAGGCAGGTTTCAGCTGCTGTTCAAGTCCCAGTGAGTGACACATTGAGACTGTCATTGTAACAGTGGCGTTTCCTCTTCCCTCACTAGGTGTGGGGACGAAATTGTGGCCGTAAACGGCGTGTCTGCCATGGGAATGAGCAACAGCGAACTGATTCCAATGCTGAAGGAACAACGGAATAAAGTGACTCTCACTGTGGTCTCTTGGCCCGGCAGCCTCGTGTAAGGTGCCAACTGTAATAGGATGCTTAATTGGGAATGCCTTCAGTGGTGCCTTTCATTGTTTGGAGTGGACCAACCAAGAAAGGCTGAGCTGGTCTCAGATAGGCTTCCTCCAAGGGGCCGGTTTCCTGTGGAAAAGGCAAATGTAGCTTGTTGTTAGAGTCTGATTTTTAGATCCGTCCACCTGGTAAGTTAAAAGCTGTACTCGGATAAGCAGTTGGAAGTGTCTCATTTTATGGTTATTTTTGTTCTGTCATGACATGTGTTGAACAGGGAAACTCTGAGCCACAGCCTGCTTCTCCAGAATTCCTCTTCTAAGCCTGCTGAGCTAAATGACAGCAAGCTGAAACTGTAAAGTGATTTATGGCCTTCAATACAGCTACTGGCTATTGGCTATTAGTTAACTGAAGTAGCAACGTTCAAGATATTGACTAATAATTACAGTGAGTGAATCATTTAGATCTGTCTCACTGTAGTTACTGGTGCCTTGTGAAGTAGGAGGCATGGGAATGTTAATCCCATTGTTTAGGTATATTTGTGCCTCTTGCTCAGTTTGACTTTTCAGCCTTGATTCAATCTCAGAGTTATTTCCAGTGTAGAGCTCATAGCTGGACACTTAGCAGCCTTGTTTGACTTCAGGACTTGCTTTCGAGAAGGAGATCTGGAAGTCCAGAAGAAGGAGGTTCCTCCTCAGCTAAGCACCTTTCCAGGGTTTCTCTCCTGTCACTTATTTCCCACGTGAGAGAGGATAGGAATGACCTGTGGAAGAGCTATTCTGGAAGAACACTACTAAAAGGGAGGCGCTGGTCACTTGATATAAATTAAATAAGTGGCTACTTGTCTCTGCAGACAATGAAGGCTTTTAGAACAGGGCCAGTTGCCCAATTCCCCCCACAGTGGCTTGGCAAAGAATTCTCTTCCTGCTCATTCCCATCCCAACAAACCCATTATGATCTGGTTAATCCTGGCTAAGCTGGCAAATTAATCCTGGCAAGTTAATCCTGGCTGGGGTAACTTCTGATCCTAGCATCTCATTAAAACAGCCAAAGAAGATGGTTTGGAGGAAATAAAACCATCTGTCCGTGCTGTCCTTTAAAAGGCATTCTCCCCCTGCACAGAGGAGTTGGCAGACCTCCAGCTGCCACTGTCTTTTCTAGTTGCGGCCTTACTGGAAAGAGAGAAGGGAGGGGAACAGGTGTTCGGCATACCAACCTTACCCAGCTCAGAAGAAAACAATCAGAAGCCACCTCCCTCTGTTGCCTTCCTTTTATCTGACCCCTGTAATGGTTTGGTTTTTTTTCAGATCGGTCATATCCTTTAACGAATTGAGCATCCTTGCGATTGCTTGCCAAGTGTGTTTGTCCTTTTTTCCCCCCAAGGCAGGGACTTTGTCCTGTGAACAGTTGTATGGCAGATGAGAATAAGTAAATAAGCAGCCCAGCTTATTTAAATAAGAAAGGTAGCAAAAACTCTGCCTAAGGAAGCATTTGCTAGATCTGTTTTCTTGCATATGTGTATGCACACACATGCTGATATTTGAAGATAGAAATTTTCTTTTTGTAAAAGTAATCTCTTCTTCCTTAAACAGCCATAACAGCTATTTTCTAAGCATAGGGGACAGTACGTTTATGTCACTCGTTCAAAAACCTGCTTCTGTTGTTCCACGACCTACGAAGTGATTCTAGTAGCCTGTTTGCAAATGTTGTGTGGTTGTGAAATAAGTTACAGAACTTATGAGTTTGTCTTAATTAGGAAAATAATATGGCCTGCTACCTCCAATTAAAAGGGATTTTTAAGACCTTGATTTGCACAGAAATTTTAGGCTGCTGAAACACTGCAACCCTCTACAATATGCTTCTCTCACTTGCTCTAAAATAGCATGCAGGTGGGAAATTAAGTGCACACATCTCAGGAAACAACTTGCAGGCGGATACTGCTTTCCCCAGGAACATGGGACTTCCACTTTCTGGAAGTTCTGGTGTGCCTTTCAGTTGGAGCCTTATTTCAACTGAACATACAGCAAGTCGGACTGACAAAAATACAGGGCTTAACATTCACATAGGCTATGTGAAATAGCAAATAAACAAAAGGACTTGTAAAACTGACTTTTGTTTAAATCTGATTCATGCTTGGACTTTGTCGTCTCATTTTAATCTGGCAAGTAGGTACTAGTGCTGCATTTAAGGATGTTGAATCAGTGGTGCAAATGTCAATTTCATGAGATTATCCGTATGTGTGCTACACTTAAATAGTACTTGTCAAAGTATATGTCTGAAAGTTAACGTCTGCATTCAGATGTGCTTTTAAAGGATATTGGTATTACACTACACTTGATCTTAGCCAAAATTAGTAAATATTGCTATTTACATCTGCCTAATTTACTGATAATAATGACTTCTGTCTTCAAGTTTGAGTCCTGTGTGACCTCCATAATGTGTGTCTCTTGGAATAGTTACAAAAAGGGCATCAAACCTTTTTTCAAATGAAGGGGATGTGCATTTTCATTTCATTGTATTCTCATATTTCAATGTGCCTTCAGCAATCAGCAGGAAATCTAGTAGCTACTGTATTACTTTGCACCAAAGAATTTGTTGAAACTTGTAGAGACATTTGTCACTGCTCTGATACATTTATAAATTATTCTGAAGTTACTGAGGATATTTGGGTTTTCTGTTCTGACCAGATCAACTTCCACAGGCTTTCACCTTACCTGGTAGGCCATTCTTCCATTATGCAAGGAAGACTGACCTCCTGCAGTGCATATTCTTGTATCAATTGTGGCACCTGGAAGAGGCGTCCCTTCCTGGAAGTGTCCATCTCCCAGCATCTGACTTATTCCACAAATATAAAGCATCATGGCTTGTCCTCTTAAATGCCTGCTTAAAAAAATATTTCAGGTAGCTATTTTGTTTGGAGGGAGAAGGCAGAGTTAGGCCTTCAGTGTGATCAGATGTGATCAGATGTGGGGCTTTTAATCTTACAAGATTTTTGAACTGACAAATACAGATTGGGTCCATAGCAACTTTCATATTTCATATCTGTACTAAATGGCATCTTTACCAGCCACAATACTTAGTCATCTTCGATGGCAGCAAAGTCGCAACAAAGTTTTTGAGACAACCAAGTTGCTGAAGGGTTTTGTGTTTTTTTTTTTAAGCAAAATCCTTGTTAAAAAACCACCTCGTTTCAAGAGCCTATAATCTGTTTCAGCTACTCTGCGGTATCATTTCCATGACTACACAGCATGATCTCAGGGTCTAGACCAGGGTTTCTCAACCTCAGCAACTTAAAGATGTATGGATTTTAACTCCCATAATTCTCCAGCTGGCGTGGCCATAGCGAAGGATCCTAGGAGTTGTAGTGCAGTTGTATGCATAAACAATGGTCTGGAAAGTGGAATGTGAACTTGTGGGGCATATTTTGTCATTCCTGAAGAAGCTGTTGGTCTGTGTCATCTGACACACTTAAGAACACACCACTTCCATATAAGAAAACAGTAAGCAAGCTTCTACAAATTAAGTCTGCAGTGTAAAATTTAGTATTAAGTTGTGCTTTGACTGTGTTCTAGTCTTCGTGACCACACAGACACCAGTCACGTTTTCCAAAAAAAAAAAAAAAGTTTTATTTCCTACGTGTTTTCTGTTATTGACCCATTCACTGCACCATCATAGCATACAAATCAAAATACAATGGGTATACTGGCTCAAGTGTCCAAGGTTGTTAGTTTCATATAAACACTCAAACTTGCATAACTACAATACAAAAAAAAAAAGTATAAATTTGAAATGATTTTTAGGAAGTGTTTTTAAACATTTCCCACAGGTGGAAGATGATGTAAGGATGGATGTACACAAAAGAGTGATGACCTTTGGGGATCTGGTGTTTTCCAAAGGAAACAACAAATTGTATGTCTACATTTAGTGTTTTAAGAGTTGTGAAAAGTGAGTCAGTGACTTACAGATAAACTGTCAACTTTTAACTTTGTCTGGTTACAAAAAGAGAGACTCTTGAAAGCCACAGTAAGTAGTTTGTGTCAAACCACTTAAGGCAGACTTAAGGGTGGCCCTATTTATTTCATGACGAAGCCCACTCAACTTCGTTGTAATGAAACTCTTTGATCTGGAAGGCTCCAGCTGCCTAGATAGAAAGAGACTTCTCAGAGAAAAACAGATATTCCATGGGGCATATCTGTTGAGCTTTCCGCTGGCTGATCTGTGACTTCCCACCAAGCTTTCGTTGAATGAAGTTCAATGTTCATAGCTATAAGTAATGGGCAAAGGAGAAATGGGACTAGTTTATAGAAGCCAGATTACCTGGCTATGAGGACGACCTAACACTTTTTTCTTCTTTTAACAAAACAGTTCCTTGTTGCTGCTGCTGCTGTCCTACTTCTTAAAAAAGGAAACAATAAATTGCCAAGTATTGTCCTAGTCTCTAAATGCATTAGTTTCTGCTGGAGTGGTCTCCCATCAGAAGCCATAGGATCTGACACGATGGAGTTTGCCTGCATGTAGAATAACTCAGTGCCAGACTTGCTGGATTCGGTCCTCTTCACACAATCCTGCAGTTTGGCTTTTCATGTTGGCAACCCATGTTCATGTTTGGGCTCCTGACATCTCAGCCGTTCCCCCAGGAAAGAGAAAGTCACCAAAAATGGAAAAGCTGGCTGTAGAGGCACCACTCTTGTTTGCAGAGCGCAGATTAGCTACTCCTTGGTATCCTGTCCATTTCCTTCTGGAACCCCATCCTCACTTGCCTCCTTCTCCTCTTTATTGCGCTTGTTCTTCTTGTGCTTGTGTCGCCGGTGGCCTTCCCCTTCTTCACTCTCATGCTGCTTGCTGATGGGGGATCAGGAAAAAAAAAACAGTTTAAGCTCCTTATGACACAAATACAACAGGGTCGTTGATGTTGAGCTTTTAAAGCTCTAAAGTGGAAGATACACTCCTGAAGAGAGTCCTCCCCATCCTAGAATTCAGCAGCTCAGTGTGATAGACAAGAAAGAGTATTACAGTCTATGAAAGGAACAGAAAGCAGTATGCTATTAAATAGGCACATTAAATAGACGCTATTACATAATAAGAGAGCAAGTTTGGGGTGGCGGTGAAGGCATCAGGCTAAAAACTGGGAGAGTGTGAGTTCTAGTCCCGCCTAGGCACAAAACCAGCTGGGTGACCTTGGGCCAGTCTCTCTCTCTCAGCCCTAGGGAGGAGGCAATGGCAAACCACTTCTGAAAAAGCCTGCCAAGAAAACTGCAGGGACTTGTTCAGGCAGTGTCCAAGAATCGGACATGATTGAATGAATTAAAAAAAAAATAACAACATTTTTTATCACCTGCTGAATAACTCTTAACCCATCTTTCCTGCATGCTTCCAGTATTCAGTTAAGCTTAAAGAAAATACTTGAGTAAGATCAATTCTGATCATCCCAAATGAGGCTGAGGTAATAGCAACCAGCAGATTTTCACTGTGAGGGTCACCGATTCATTACCTGCTATAGCACGGACATTCTGTCAGCCCTACAAGATAGACCAGACTAAGAAACCCAAACCAGATACTGTATATCAGGACTATCTTTCAATTAATAGCCACAATATGGGAACTATATTTAAATGACTAGAAGTTTTAGCTAGTGCAGGTAAGGTAGAGATCTGTTTTCATTAACTCAGACTCAGTTTGGAACATAATTCACCACTATACCACTATCACTGAATTAAAGCACTTTTGGCCTGAACTCAGCTTGAGGAGCTAGCCTGGGAACAGGGAATGACTTACCGCCGGGATGATTTATGTTTGCTGCCCTCTTCTTTTTCTCTGTGCCTCCTCTCCCGGTGACGATCTTCTCGCTCACGACTGCGATCTCTACTCCTGCGATAGTCGCGCTCAAAATCGTAATTGCGTTCCCGGCTATAATAACGGTACCTCTCATCGTCACTAAGAGAGAAGAATGAAGTATAGAAGAGGAATGGGAATGTTATTTGGTATTCAAACTGATTTCTGATTTAGGGTAGGCAACACATGGGGTCAGAATCTCAATCTTCTGGAGGGGCACAGCAATCTGGTGACATGCCCATATGGTGCAGGAATTGGCTGGGGGAGACAAGAATTTCAGGTTCTGAATTTAAGAATCAAACGGTAGGCATTCCCATTTTTAAAATGCTAACCCAAGCAAACCATCTGGGAGGTCTAAGGATGGGGAGGGAGCAGTCTGTCTTCCAGAGGCTTCCTCTTCCCATTTCTACTCTTAAACCCAAATAAATTCTTTTAAACCTGAAAACAAACCAAAAGTCTTGTCATTTCAAAAGAGGGTTTAAAAGCAATTGTTCAAGGGGGCTTTTGACATCTGAATGAGGCTATCTGGTTACTTATTCCTTGTCGCTGTTCTTAGAATTTCTATTTTTGGTATTTTGTGGATTTAACATTACACTGTGTCAAAATAACTTCTGCTTCACTGCCAAGAAAAGCTGAGTTCTGTATATACAATTATACTAAGTTTATCTCTTAACAGCTACGAAATCTAACTTCCTAGCTCCTTCTACATATAGTTCATATTTTGTCTTATAATGCTGAAGTTTTTATTTGAAATACAAGTCAAGATCTTGAGCATGCTGCCTTGCTTGTTAACCAGAAAGAAAGATGGGGTATAAAGTGAATAATGAATACATTATTGTGGTTAATGAGCTTTGACTCCAGCATCAATGTCATACTTGAATTATGTAGCTGTACAATGACTAGTATTGTGTCACAAGCCACACTCACTTGTTATATTCACTTGTGGTAGGTGTCCGGTCACGGTCTCTTTCCCTCTCCCTTCTTGAGCCAGAATATTCCCAGTGGCTGCTGTCGGAAGCACTGGAGGCCTTATCCACTGTGGTCACCCAGGGAGTGTGAGACGTAGAAATGGGTGGGTAGGTGATGAAACCTGAATCTATGGAGAAGCAGGAGAGCTTTTCATCAGCTGATTCAGACATTCATATGGTAGTGGATATGTGCTGCGTCATCACCAACATGATGGAGCTAATGACATGAACTCCACAGGAGACACATAGAGATAAACCACATTTACACACCATACAAAAGAGATAATAAAAAAAGCTAAGGAGGGAACAAAAAGACCAGAACACATCCTCTCCAGCAGCCTACACTCAGATAAGCAGGGATTAACACCAGACAAACAAGGAGAAAACAATACCCTAATGAAGGAACTACCAAGGAGAAAACCATACCCCTACCAACACTGGCAGGGCAAGCTACTGTATATAAACAGGGAGCAAACCCCACACTCCCTTGCACTGATGATGTTACCTAGTTGGGTAATGAAACGCCTGCAAGCCAACAGCCAAGCTCAGAGAGCACCAAAGACTCCACAGTTCAACCCTGAATTACATATATTCTCTTCTATTGCAATTTTTTCCTATTGGATTTACAGAAGAGGCTTGTTAAAGCCTTGAAGAACTCTGTGCAATGGGACAAAGAAAAAATGAGAAATTAAATCCTACTATAATATTTGAATGAACTAAAGATTAAGACTTTCAGAAGTAAAAGGAAGGAATATAAAGTTGGTTTATCTGGTCAAAGTTAAACAAGATTTGTTGTTACTTCTGGCAACCCTTTATGGACTTTCTGCTGACACCGGGACTGAAAAGTGATGGGATACAGGATGAAGACATAATTGTTTGTAACCTTAGAGGGAGTGAAGAGTCACAAAATTTGTTTATACTTGTGATGAAGGTTGGAAGTCACTTCTTTATTTCTTTTCTCTTTATTACAGTCTTACTTTTTTCTTCTCTTTTTTCTTGCACTTTTTATCCTTTCTTTCTCTTCTCTAAGTTTAGTTTGTATTAGATTTTACTATTGTAATCAAAATTCTTAATAAGATTATATTGAAAGAAACAATATGCAAGTTGGTATTGAATTGCTTCCCCATTCAGGAACTTAAAGAAACCCCAAGCCCTAGTTTCAAGATTACATCCAAGCTTCCAGTAGTTCCCAACAAATAACTATCCAATTTTAAACAATAATGGCTATAACATGAGAGAGAGAGAAATAATACCACTATAGGCTTGCTAGAAAAGGCAGATTTTATAAGTGTACTAAAATATTACAAACACCATTCAGTTTGAACTCTATCAGGGAAGCTGTTCTGTTCATATAGGGAGGAGATAATCCTGTTTCTTATTTTAGAAAACACTCTTCCACAAGATACAGGTACAGGAAGTTGAATATGATCAATGGCGAGCTAATATTTAGAACACAAAGGGAAATACACTGTCTGCATCTTGAATTAGTCCCAAAGCTAAATCAGCAATAACCATATGATTACTGTCAAGTATGTTGAATGTACCCTCCCTCCGTTTGTATCAGGTGACTTGTCAACAGCAACAGCCTGCACAACTGTAGCATCAGGCAGTCTCCAAGGATAATCCTGTTGGAAAACATCATAGATACCCAATTCGGTTTTCTCAAGAGAGCGAGCCTATCTAAGGTGAAAGATGACCAAATGGGATATCATAGGGGTTACTTCTTTATTTAAAGCTCCTGACCCACCTGATCAGGTTGGGAGAGAGCCATCGATATTGCTGAAATGATCACTGTATCCACACTGCTAGGATTCAGTATAGTTTTCCTCAACACATCTGTTTAAACACAGCCTCTAGGGATTTGAGTCAAAGGCTAATAAAAATAAACTTTATAAAGTTTATGTAAAGATGAGCATTGCTGGTGTGCATGGATGGTACCTAGTTCCAAAGTCAGAACTCTTCATGCAGCTTGCGTATAGACAATTGTTATTGTCAAGCTCCTGCAGCTGGGCTCCCGGTGTGATTTAACTCTATTAGCCTTCTGGAGGGACATGAAGGCCCAGCTCTTTACACGGGCATTGGGCTAGGATGGAAGTGAGCCCAGCAAACATAAATGTAGGGTTGGTGGGATGCTATAGTGCTGTGATGATGTTGTTGTGGGGTTCCGGGGGGTTATATTTATTCTGGTTTTATGGAATGTTGTGGTGAGCTGCCTAGGATTATCATGTGATAGGTGGCCATAAAAGCTTTCTAAATAAACAAACAAACAAACCCTTCCAATCAACATGTACTCTTAAGCACAGAACTGCCCTGAGGCTAATCTAACACCTCTGCTGTTTTCAGCAAGCTTAGCAGAAGGGCATCATTGAAGAGGTACAGAAGCATCAAGAGGGAAGAATCTTTTTGCCCATTTCCAGACACAAGAGTTGACTAGAAGCATGAAGGACACGGAACCCTCATTAGCAAGTTAATCACCAGCTGAAGGAGCTTGTTTATCCAAAGGCTCCTCTTGCTTGTCTGTTATCCCTCATTAAGCTGTATACAAATCACAGAGTTGGAAGGAGATAGCCAGACCCTCCCTGGTCAGGCAGAAATTCAAATTAAAGCATTCCTGACAGATGGTTGTCCAGGCTATGCCTGAAAACATTCAGCACAGGGGAACCCATCACTTTAGAATTTATTGATCAGAAGTTTTTCATAACATCTAACCACAAACTGCCTTCCTGTAACTTTATGCCATTATTCTGGGTCCAGAGCTCTAGCATAATGGAGAAGAATACTATATATCCCCTATTCTTTTCCTGATAAACATGCCTAGGCCCCTCAATCTCTTCTCATGAGACCTAACTTTTCAGCCCCCTGATTGTTCCTCAGGTCCTTCTCTGCATCTGTTCCAGTTTGACTGAATCCTTCTTAAACGATGGTGTTGAGAACCAGGCAGAGCGATCGAGTGGGGTCAGATATATCTAAAAGATGTTTTCAGGCGATTAGGCCATCCATTAATCAAATTTCTTCAAACGTAGGCAGAACAAAAGAGGAATAGAGGAATGCATCTTTTACTTTATCCCACAGCCCTTGTCCCTAGTTTTAAATGAAGGGGATGTTTACAATCCCAAGCATGAAAATATTTGGCATCCTCAAAGTTGAAAACCAAGTAGGATAAGGAGCTCTGACCCTGTCCCAGACCGTTACAACTGTCATGAGTGAATCAGCTGTGCGTCTTCCTTAAGCCAAAGAGGGAGGACAACCATACAGCTGTAGAAGCTTCACCATCTTGATGCGGAAAGAAGTCCTCTTACCATGCAGAACATTCTATCATTGCAGTGGTCAACAAAGCATTATACACTTCCACTGACCCTTAAACAGATGGTTTGCCAATTTCAACTGTCACTTGAGTGTAAAGAACGTCTCAGTGTCTCCTATTGCCATAAATCCTGTTTAATGATAAATCCAGCTATGGCAAATGTTAAGCAACTTTCTTTCCTGGAGCCTTTCTCATTCTATCCAGAACAAGAGCTCAGCTATACAATATGGAGCCCACTGGACCCTGCAACACTTTTGTTGTCAAGGGGGTCACTATACCGCTATACCATTGATTCCCACTAAGTCCCTCAAGATGAAGGCCAAGGAGATCTCAATATGATTTCAGGATACCTCCTTGGGAAATTACAGGCTTACAGGTGATGACATGGTTATCTATCTCATGTGTACATCAGTTAGCATAATTAATGGATCATATAGGATACTACTTGACAACATATGGAATCCCTGTGGCAACTTTTCCCATATGCCTACTTGCCTGTTTATGTAACAGCCATAGGTTCTGATTTTAGAGATACTTAAGCCAAGATGGAGGTTTTGCTATGTTAACACATCTTGCTAGTAACAGATCCAATATCGAAAAGTTCTATTCAACAGAACTCAACTAAATTCAAGCTGACAGAAATGTTTGTGAGTAAATGGAATGTCTAATTTTATTTAAGAATGAATTTGGATTTTTTAAATTCTAGAATAGACAAGAAACAGGAAATGGGAACTGACAAGCTGAGTTAGTAACATTACTTTGTGGAGGTTGCAAAGCAGAGCTTGAGCAGCAGACATCCGTAGGAATCCTTACTAATAAAATCCAGGGCTGAAAGTTATGTCCCCACATTTCCCAGGCTACATGCTAGCTGGGGGACCGTGAGAGCTTCAGTCCCACACATCTGGATGGCACGAGATCTGAGAAACTGGTCCACATGCTTCTCTGCTTAAAATGGGGGTTTTTTTTTCTCCAGAGACTTCCCAGCCCTTCTAGAGGCTGTTTCCTCTTTAAGAGACTGTCATCCTGTCTGTAAACCTGGAGATGGCAACCTTTTCAGCTTCAACTGGACAGTCTTGTGTAATAACACAGGAGCCTTATTTAAAAAAAAAAAGTTTTTTCATGCAATTGCAACAGTCCCACTCTCCCAAGCTCTTGTGAGATTTCAATAGATTTAAATAATTAGGGGATTTCATGGACACCTTCTAGGAGTGCTGCATTGCTGACTCCAGATATAACATCAAGGATTCAAGTAAGAGGCTGCTTTAGATGACATCAATAATGTCACTGAGGTGTGACGATTAAGAATCTGCACTCTGCCTTGCAAAAAGACCCCAGCTGAAAGCAGGTGTGGGTGCTAGGGGGCCACAGAAGAGCGAGATCAGAAAATTAATAATATACAAGTGCACAGAATTATTAACAACTTGCAATTGCTTTGCATGGATGTTCCCCTCTTTCTGCTCCCTAAGAAAGGGAAGAAACATTAATGTTTCTTTCCATAACAGAAACATTATGGTTTTAGCCTGAATGAAGGGGTGTGTGTATTTCCACACGTTCCTGATACAGGCCGGTGACGACAGCTGTCTATAACAATAACAGTCGGGGACAGTGAAAAGTAAATGATCCATTGGAATACAATTTTGGGAGTCTTTTTCAGGTGATGAAAAAGGGTGGGAATACTTGCAAATGAATTCAGCGACATGTTGAAGGAAGAGAGAATTGCTAAAGGTAAAGCACAGATATAAATATCATTACAAAACTCCAGTTTAAGAATGGTACCCGAGTGATGCCCAGAGTGAAGAAACAGGCGGGAAATGCTAGAATTCTGCAGCATTTCAGGATGCTCTACTAACTCTGGTTTGCAGAGAGCAGGGTTTTGTGGCAAATTACTTCCAAGACCAGCTCATGATCTGACCATCACAGAAGAGTCCAGAGCTGTCCCTCAAGAGCAGAACTGGCCCATCCAGGTGACCCACCATGGGCTGTGCAAGACAATAATCCACTCCACCCATCTCTGAAGGGCTCACCTGTGGAGTTGTAGCCAAAGGGAGGTGGCTGCCGGTTGCTGTAGCTGGCAGGCTGGCTTTGAAGAGAGAGGGAGAGAGAACACACGAGAAGAGTTAGCAACAACTAATCCCCATCATTAACTTAGGCTGAAAAAAAAATCACAGAGGAAAATGATAGCCTCACTTCCTCACTGGATTATCTCTATTAACAACACTCTCATAGCTGTATTTTTTACCCAATTCCTAGCCAACCATTTCTCAGTTGACCTTCTACCCACTGGGATCAGCCCAGCAGTAAGAAGCACTAAACAATTCAAATACCAAAGAACAGGCAGAACCCCTGCCGGATCAAACCAGAGGAGAAATCTCATTATCAGCATCCTAGTATTCACAACACCAAATCAGCTACCTGTGTGAAGTTCACAGGCATAGCACAATCCCAGGCACTGGAAGTGCCAAACATCTTCTCTGCAGACAAAAAGGCCATTTCACTTACGAGTGTACTGAACACTAGACATTTCCTCACGAATTCATGTAATTTCCTTATAAAGCCATCTAAGCCAGTGATCACTACATTTTGCACTAACATATTCCGTAGATTCAGAATGTCATGACTCTTAGTCTCCTTACATTCTCTACATATCAGTGATGGAGGGCAGGAATCAGGCCAATGATTGTGCAGTATAGACTGATCTGGTGAACTGGAGAATATGGAGATTCTACCTCATCACTGTTCAGCTGTAATCAGAGGAGGAAAATACAGGAACACTGGCCTATCAGATATGACAAACTTCTAATTTTGCTTCTTGGTCAGGCTTGCTCATTAGTTACAATCCTACAAGGCATGGAATAGCTCTCCCCCTTCTGCATCCTTTTGCCCTCAACTGCAGAGGGAGGGAGGTCTACAGACTGAGACTTTAAATTCCTTTAAATGGAATGGAGATCAGTGGACCTCAAGCCCTGGGTCTGCAGTGCAGAAGCTTGTGAAAGAAAGGCAGGAGACAATAGAAATGCAGTAGAGATACAAGCTGGCAAAGATAACTAATATTAATCTTGGGATCAAGGAAATACATGCTTTTTTCTGTGTCCTTCAAACCCAAATACTGTATCACCCCAAAGACAAGAAGGCTTGTCTCATGCTTAGGAGGGATAATATTAGAGTGAATTCACAAGCTGAGCGAATGCCGTGAGTACCCATCTAATTCTCACTTACCCATCAAGTGTTGGAATCAAGAGGGCGGGTGGTGGAGCGAGAGGAGGAGGAAACAGCCCTGTTAATAAAAAAATCAGTAATAATCATTAAAAGATATGATGGCTACAGCAAAACTGCCATTATATGGTAATCCCTTTCTCTTTGGGTACCATTGAAAAAAATCCCCTTGTATCTTATTCCAGTAATCGAATCACTCAGCACACCCATGTCCAGATATCGCTATGTTGCACATTCCTCCAGTTCCACCACCTGATACTACTAGATGGGATAAACATGAGATAAGCAGGACACACGGACAATATTAAGGCATTGGGTGGATCTGGTGCCTTCATGGATGTCACGAGCAGCATTTGATCGATCCACATAAAATAAATCAGAATGATCTAATCATGCTAAGTCAGGAGCATTCGAGGCAAGCCACCAGCTTCATGAACAACGTCGATAAGGGCTTGGCTGGCTCAGAGGGGGAAAAGATGGCAAAAGACCATGCCTTAAAAAGGCAGGAATAGCTTGATCTGTCACTGACTCTACCCCAGTGAATATCAGTATTGCTGATTCAGCAGCCTTCAGACCCTGTGCCCTCCGGCTGGCAAGGCAGGGAAAGAAATGGCAAAGGTTCATCTCGGGGTAGACCATAACCTGCCTGAATCCCAGCCCTCCTTGGAGTGATGCTGGGCCTCAGAAACGTGACACGTGAGAACAGGCTGGCATTTTCCTCATTGCATGCACAACCATGTATCTGGGAAAGCCACACAGGCCCAGATCTGTTGATTTCACCTCTGGAATTTACAACAGATATCTTCACTTCCTCTGGGCTTGCAACGCTCCAATATGACTTCATTACTATTCCCCTTAACATAAGAAAATGTTATGGAAATTTGTGATATCTATATTACATGCTATTGACTCACAGAGGCTCATCCAAATTTTATAATATCCTTAAGCCCCAATCTACTCTGTATCTTTTCCCATATTGTTTACCTTACTTGCTTAATTCTTCAATGGAAGCCAATTCTTGAGCCATACTACAAGCACTGGGTACATCTTATGCTCATTTGAACCTCTGGTATGTTTCACACTGAATGTGAATTGCCCAACAACATTTGATTGTAATACTGATGTTGATCATAGAATTTGCCATTTTGGTAAATGGTTTGAGGAATAGTGAAATGTAGCCCACAAAATGGCCTAACTGACTGGCTATGGAAATTTGGTCTTCAAGGAAAATAGAAGCACATACCTGGAATAGGGCCTGGGGGTGGTAAACCTACACAAAACAAGAGTCTAGTTAGGACAGCCAAAGATCTACAGAGCCTCTGTCTGAGGAGGCTGACAAATATGGCTCAGAGTCCTTTGGGTCAAGCCCTTCACTTGGTTGAGAACAGAAGCTACCATCTACACAATCAGAACATTGTTTCGCCCAGCCCAGAGTTCCTTACACTGACAGGCAGCCTCTTTCAGAGGACTCCAACTAATCTCCTTCCACTACAAACTGGGGAGACTTTTTAATTTGCTTGCAAGATGCTTAGGGATGTTGTTCTGCCGTATTTATCTGGAAGGCTTTTTCTACCCCATGTTTTAGTTGGAAAATGCTCTGAGAGATTCACAGAGATCAATAATAAGACAACCCCTGCCCACAGGCTCACAATCTACAACACAATACAAGAGGGAGGAAGGAGATACAAAATGCCGACTTGAACTCCAGCTCTTAGTTACAAGTTATAATGATAACCAGAACGGACACTTTTCAAGGAGAGGTGGGCAGGCCCTGGTCGCTCAACTAAGTTCATGCTCGCCTTGCTTTCCTTTCCCCCCTGACTGTGGACGGTGGAACAGTGACTGCTCAGGGGACACGTGAAGAGCAAAGACATTGGAGAGACTTCTGTGCTGGTGGATCTCCTAGTTCTATTGCCCACAGAAGACCATCCCACTGGCTTTAGGTACTCACACGTCCAAATGAGCGTACCCAAGTCTGCAGAACTAAATGTAAGAACTTGGAAGCGGATTTCATTGATTTTAGTGGCTTTGACTTCCAAGAATTATCATGAGCTTGAATGTGCCGAAATGCAAAAAAGCAGTTTCAGACAAGCTTGGCAAACTCATGCCCATCCAGTTGTAAAGAGTCAGAAGTGAATGACTAACTGAGCGGCAACAATAACTTCAAGTATGTATGCTGAGGACTAAGACAACAGAGGTCAATGCTATCAAAAGTTTATTGTATTATATGAGGGATGGCCTAGTGATGGATAATGTGACTGAGACAGCTCTGACACAGACATACACACACACACATTCACAACTTGTAAGCTGGCTTTACCAAATACATTAAAAACTAAACTGTGTAGGTTTAGGGTGGGCAACGTCACCATAGTTTCAGCTTCTGAATGCCTCAGAACATTCTGGAGAACATGAATTTTTGGCCATTTGGGAGGTTATGCAAAATAGGTACACCAGTTTTATTACTTTGATTTTAAAAGGAAAAAAAGTGCTGATAAAAAAAAAATCACCATTTAGCCACAAAACTAAGGTTGGGACCACAGTCATCAAACCTACAGTCTACCTTTACTGAAAAGGTCTTCAGGCCTTAGGTACAGACATTCCATACTGCAGTGTTACTTCGATTTTTAATACTCTTCCTAATGAAACAGACCTCTGTAAAGCTTGCCTACTTGTATCTAGCACAGTGTTTCCCAACCTTGGTAACTTTAAGATATGTGGCTTCAACTCCCAGAATTCCCCAGAATTCCCCAGACACAGATGTTATATTATGTCATGCTTCTCTATATAGGGGGAATTTATTTTTACACAGTGTAAACCACATAGGATAAAATAGTGAAATCCCCCCCACTTGGAGGGGGGAAGGTGGAAGACCCCATACATGGAGGTCTGTATTGCTCTACCCTGAGAACTTAAGGGAAAGTGGACTCTATATGCCATCCTGATAGTTCCTTGAATAAGGCTGTGGATATCCTAAAAGCAAATTCATGGACAGTCACCCTGCTGAAAAACCACAGTCTAGGAAGGCTAACGTTTTGGTGAGGAGGGGATGGTTTCTGAATAGAGGCCTTGGAAAGAAGTATATGCTAGATCAATCTTTCTCAACCTTAGCAGCTTTAAGATATGTTCTATTAGCTTTTAGATATCCCTTCTTACAACTACTGAGTGCCAGGACCTATACTGCTCCTGAGGCTAACACCCTGTACATAATCATCTCAAATGCAAAGGTCTGTGAGTTCAATTTCTGGTAGAGGGTTTGAATGGAACAACATCTGCCTATGTGCATATGAAGAGTCCCAATAAGAGCAAAACTGGTCTCATAGTGGTCAATATAATTGGCTCATTCAGTACCTAAAGAGCCTTCCAACCACACAATTCACTCATCCCATGTTGGGATGATCTCAGTCTGAAGGGTCTATGTTAAAGTGGAGTTGGTGTCATCACAATGCTGCAGGAAGTTTCTTAAGAGTAAGAAAAAATAGTTGGCTGCTGAGAGAAGTGGTGGAGCCTTCCTTGACGGAGATCATCAAGCAGAACCCAGCAGCTGGAGCCCTTCTGCGTCTCCATCTCCTGCAGTGAACCAGGGATTGGAGTACATGGCTTGTGAGTCCTGCTAGATGTTCTACCGCAGCCTTCCCCAACCTCTGAGGAAGACATGGGGACGTCAACTCCCAGTGACATCCATACTGAGGAGTGGCTCAGACTGGGAGAAATTGTTCTCCCAATGCTTTCCTAAGGAGGAGCCTTTACTTCCAATGAAATTCATGTTGGTTATAACACCATTGTGCGTGTACATATGCATGCACACAGACACAAGAACTGCAAATGTCACATTTACAGCCTAGTTTAAAATTAACTAAGATAAAGATTGCAAAGTGTGCATGCATCTAAACCAAAACTGGAACATTTTGAAAAAGTAGTTCTGATGTTATATGCTGAGGCACCTTACTGTGTAAAGAGAAGTAAGTTCCTGCATGCCCACTTAGATGGCAGCACGAAGCTGATCTTAATCTCAGAAAGGCTAAGAAGGATCTGGTCTGGTTAGTCTTTGGATGGGAGACCACCAGGGAATACTAGGGGTGTGGGCTAGCCAGGGAAATACAGACAACAAGAAATGGAAGGAGACAACATCAAACCACTTCTGTGTTGATGCCAGGCCTGTCCATGAAGACATCAGGAGCTGAGCTTGCCCTGATGGAGAAGTTCTCTTTTAAGCCCATTATAAGCAATCCATTGACAAAGTTGCCTACTGCACGATACTCTGTTCTGGACCTGCCTCTTTCCAAACTTCTCTGCAGCAACAGAGGGATGAGCTCTCCTAAGGGTAAATAATTCTTGTCCTTACGCAATTTAAAAGCAAGAACATCTCCAATTTTAACTCCAATGCAATTTCCCTGCAAATGTCTGCCAGAACAAATTTCTGGTTAAACTCATAGTATTTAAAGACTAAGTTGGTTTTTAACAAAAGCGTTTCTGCACCAGCAGGGCATCTACCTGGAGGATGGAGAGGTGGTGGGACAGAAGCAACTGGCGGAGGAGGAGGATGGAGAAAGTGGGGTGGAGGTCCACTTAATGCTGGAGGTGGGCCTGTCGGGGGCACAAATGGCTGCTGCTGAGGGGGCTGAGCGGGCTGAGTTTTGCTCCCGTGATCTCCAAGTACCTTTTAAAAGAGAGCATAGAAGAATAATCAGGTTAGGTTTGAAGAAAAAAACTAACTGTAGTCAAAGCAACTCTCAAAGGAGGCAATGCTACTATGCACACATCTGCATAATGTTGCAATACCATGGGAATGCAGGAGAATGGAAGAATGAAATCCTGGATGTGGAATTCAGCTTAACTTGGAAAGTAAACCCAACCAAATCAAACCCAACCCTGAAGGGCACTTGCAATGTCTAATGCCAGTGGTGACTGAAGAACACTTCCAAGTTTCAGATCTCCTGTGAGGGTCCTTATCCTTAACTCCTGTGTAGGTCCTTATTCATTTGCCTAATTTATTTCAATCACAGAGCTCAGATTTCCTGGCTGTAGAATGAATATTTTTGAAGCAGGGAATACATACAGCCCGTGGATGAAGACTGCCTCTTTCTACCAGATCATCTCAATAGTAACATTCCAGGACTGAAATAAGAATTAGGCCTGTCACAGCACTAAAGAGCTCAAATCAGGTGTCATTAAAAATATCCAAGCCGGCTAAGTTCAGATCAAGTGCACTTGATTTAAAGATATGTTTTCATGAAACTATCCTGACAGGATGTTTTTAATTTGTAATCTGGGATATGTGCTGGTGAAGTTCTGCATCATCAGTTGATTTATATCACTTATTTTGGACATGTCCAATCAATATGGGAGAGAAGTTATTAGAAATTATAGATTACGCTTTACACATTGATCCCAGCATGATTATTTGGATTTTATTAACAGAAGATATGCAGAAGTAGAATTTGGAGGGTGGGTGGGAAGCAATCTCCTCTAAATGTGAAACAGTACTTAAAGAGCAAGTTGTAGCAATGGTTAATTTATTATTTGAGGAAACCAAAAGGGAAGTTGCCCAGAGACTTACAGAAAAGTAGATTTTGTTTGTAACATATTGAGAGAGATCTTCGGATGCCACTGAACATAGTTTTAAAGAGGAGGAACATTTTAAAATGGAGGAAAATGGAGGAAAATCCAACACTGCACAAAAAGATTAGGAAATGTCCAATCCGGATTGAAAGTTAAGAGTATGCAAGACCATTTTTCAGTTCTTACCTGAATGGGATTTTCTTCAGAAGCGTGTTTGTCGCGCCGCCTTCCTTCTACCCTCCTGATGGTGCCAGCCTGTCCACCAATCACATCGATTGTCCCACCCAGCTTCCTGTTTCAAAAAGAAGACAAGCACTTTCTCACAGTCCCAGCCACTGATCTTGGTCACACTGTCCTTCCTGTGGCACAGACCACCGACTGGAGTAATGTATGCTATAACACACTGAGCTCCAGTGTTCTAACGACCAGGCCATTGCCCACCGTACACCAGCAGACCATCGATCCTTTGATAATGCCCTAAATTCCAGTGCACCAAGAACCGAATTCCAAATTCTTTTTGCAGAATGTTGTGGGCGTTTGCTTCCCAATTGCCTGGGACAAAGCAGAACTGAGCCAAAGGGCTATCAAAAAGCAAAACGAAACAAAACAAAAAACTCAAAAGCTGACTTGCAACTTGCTCCTTGGTGCATTATTACACGCTGTGCTAGAGACAGGAAGGTCACAATACTTTATCTGGGAGTAAACAGCTTGGGGTAGAGCTCACAGGTTCATCGTGTTCAGAAGATTTAGTACAGAGGTGTGCAACATGGTATCTTGGATTTGTACCCAATGCCCCCCCCCCCCCAAAAGCTTTCTTGGTGTTCACCAGCCTCCTTCTCCTTCCTGACTTAATTTTTAAAAATAAAAATAAATCTCACATCATATTTATTTATTTCAATACCTCTGGGCATCCTAAAGGTCTGAGTTGAGTTTCCTATGGAACTAGTTCCTCTTCTGACTAATGGTGTTCTGGGACCAGCCATGCCTACTGTGACAGCCATCTGGGGACTAGGTATGTCTCCTCTGGTAGCCATTTCCCCCTGCACCCATTACATGCATTCAAATTTCCAAATGGTCACCACCTCTGAAGCTGCCTATCTTCTGAATCTTCTGCAAGGCTCCAGGGAATGAACAATATTTGGGGGGCAGAACTGAGGGGAAGATGACTTACCCCTTTGCTCTGAAGCATTTGTTATTGATATCATGTAGACAAAATGGGGTAAGCGCTGAGATTAGCGGAAACCAGATGGATCTGCCTCCAATTCAGCCCATGGCTGCCTCCCTGTCCACAGCGCTGGCCCTGGGTGGCCATCTAGATCAGCCTTCCCTCCATGGATTGGGCCTGCCCTTCCCAGAATTCCAGCTTCCATGGGAGCTCGGAAGCTTAAGATCACCTCATCTGGAGGAGTCCAGCGTCCTGAGACGATCCGTGGGGTAATTTAAGCTGCTGAAAATCTTGGAAAGGAGGAAGCCAAGATACAGAAGCTCCAAACCCCTCAAGAAGCAGAGATACCCCCCAAAACAGCCCCACAAGAGACCAAAAAGTTGATGTCCATTCGGTACCTGTTTGGAGGAGGCCCAGCTTTTATCCTTCCACCAACAAGGGCAACGAAATCGGTTTTAAAGTCCATTTTGATGATATTATTCTCGGGTTCTTTCTCTGCGTTGCCTGTTCTTCCTTGCTGAACCTTGTGATTTTTTTTTTTAAAAAAGACAACATGGCAGTGCTTCAATAACCTTCTAAACTCAAGATATTTTTCCCCACCCTCCAACTGAAATAATCAATTCTTCACTAACAGAACTAAAGAGGTCTGCTCAAAAGGCACAGAGCAACCATTCTTAACTTGCTGATTTCCAGGAGACAGAATTCTTTTCTACAGCCATCGCCCCACCATTATAAAGCATCTCAAAGTGGAGAGGGGTGAGGTTCCATTGCAGAAGGGACATGAAGGGGTCTAATTTTTAATTTGTAATTCCTCAACTTTCTGTGTTCACGTACTAGCTATTTTTATCGGCCTGAAAAGCCTTCTACTTCTTTTACACCCACCCATTTGCCAACTGTTCTTCAGAAAGCAAAAGAGATCCCTACTCAATTTTTAAAACTGTACACTGTAGTGCCGAAGAGGCAGTAGTCTAGCCCCGTGTTTCACAACCTCGTCAACTTTAAGATGTGTGGACTTCAACTCCCAGAATTCTCCAGCCAGCATGTTTTGAGATGTGTAGACTTCAACTCCCAGAAATTGGCTGGGGAATTCTGGGAGTCGGTCCACACATCTTAAGGCTGAGAAACACTGATTTAGCCCACAGGCTGGAGGCAACTCGTTCCCTTTTGGGAATCCATCTGCTCGAGCAGGATTAAAATGTTGAGATCAGAAACCGACTTGCTTTTCATCTTCATCCTCATTGCGCTTCTGTTACATTATTATAGGCTTCTGGTGGCCTCTGGATTTTGGATTATATCTTCCCAACCATTTCAAAATCATGCATGTTGATAAATTCAACGTGAAATAGAACAATTAAACAGATCAGGTTGGTCTCTGGGGGAGTTTCCAAACTCTGCATTTTACCGTGATCTTATTTTCCGTACTGATGGGGACTGAAGGCTCCAAGCCGAGTTGAAGCCGGCGCTGTTTTTCACAATATGCTTTCCATGTTTCTTCATTGAATCCGTAGTTGAAATAGTCGGAAAGGTCAGCACCTGGAAAGGAATGAAAAATGTTAATGAAAAGGGCCCTCCAGGGAAAGTCAACTCTTCTGGCAGAAAGAAATGGGAAATCCTGAAGTAGAGAAGTGGATTGTACCAACTTCATTTTGCAGCAGAGAATCTTCTTTCGGAATTCTTCCACTAAAAATCAAACAAGTGTTAACTGCAGGAAGAAAAGTAGAACAGCAAGAAGATGCTCACCTAATAGATTTCTAGTTAAGGTGAATTATAAAGGATGATCTTGGAAACAATCAGGAGGAGTTGTATCATACAATTTCTACCTTGTACTCCCACCTATGTAGACTCTCTCTCTTGACGATTTACAGGGAATTTAAAAGATCTTTAAAAATTAACTCTGCTGTCATACTTCACCAAAGCACAACTGCAGGGTTTTTCAGGAGTGGAAATTTTTAGCACTCCAGATCTTGCTGAAGGATAACTTCCACCATCTGTTACTACCAGACATATTCATTCGGGGCCATGGAAACTGAAGATGACAGGTGCATGACTCATGATGCAAGCCCAGCACGCTTGTTTGGGCCCCCAGACCAGAGGACCCCAAGAGTGGGTGCCATCATTTTGGCACCGTTTTTTGTTTTGGTTGTGAGTTGTGAGATGAAAGGGGTCTTCTAGGCTTGCAGAAGCTTAAAGCAAGTGTTTCATCTCTTACAAATTCTTAAGCTCCTCCAAAAATTGGTCCAAATTTCTCCATGCTTGCAGGAATTTTAAGGGGAAAAACGATACGTAAAGCACTGTCTCCAAAACAGACTGAAATTGTTGATCCTCCTGAGGCTATCATCATATCACTGGTCACATCATTTTAACACTCATTGTCGTCATCATCATCATCACTTCTTCTCTCCCTCCTCCTCCTCCCTCCTTAAAGACGTAGTTGAACAGTATCTGAAATGCTCTCTACCTTAAACAACTGAAATTGGAGAACGTTTGTGATGAAATATATTTAGACTATGAAGACACACACCCATACTAACGGCAATAATCCCGAAGAAAATTGATGAACATCTGAATGGCATCCATGTTCAGTGTAACTAGGATTTAACACAGGTTCACATATCATGGTTAGAAATTGTTCTTAGTTGACCCAAACTAAAATAGTAATGGGAGAGAAAGAGTTTGCCATTCTTTGGTCCACTAACCAGAGCTGTATTGGTATCAGACTCTAAGACATATTGCTGGAGGTTGATAGTGATTTGAGATACTACAAGTTCTAAAGTTGACGATGGCAAGATCCACTTGCATTCATTAATTATCATTGATCACGAATCTTTGTATATCCCTTCTCAATATAAAGATCCTGAAGCTGTTCACAATTGGAATAACAATATTACCAAATGAATAAAATAGATTAAAATAATTCATTTGATCTTCAATGGGGAACACCAGGGAGGGGAGAGTATCCCAGGTCACTTCAGCCTTTATCACAAAAACTCTGGACCAAATAATTCTGTTCCTGCAGTTAGGTAGGCTCTCTTTAGTGCATCATATCACAAGAATGGAAATAATCTCTATTCTGAAAGAAAGAATTCATCTATTACTGCTGGAATTACATTTATGGAAGAAAGGTATAAAATGAAAAAAAGACGGCTTAAACCATAGAACTGTTGATGGACTGAAGAGCGGCTCATAGATTTAGTGGCCTGTTTATTAACTAAACGTATTTAAATATTTCCATATTCTCATACCTTTAAAGGTCTTCTAGTTGGTGAAAGATAAAATAAACACACTATTAAAAGAAAAAGCTATTTCTAAATACTTCTCTCATCATCTATGACAGACGGCAGACACATGGAAAGAACTGGAAGGGAGAACTCTAAAGGGTGACCTGACTTATCCTATCTTATCCACATTATTTACAACATCTACAGCAATTTACGTTGTGTCAGTTTATCTATTGATGGAAACCATGCCTGATTTTATTTTATTTGGCAAATGACATCATTGGACAAATGAAGTAAAGAGATACAAGTTATGCACTTCTGGGTTTTTTAATAAGGCTTGAGAATAACAAACCATCTTCCACACAATACGTCTATGAAGCTGAGGCTCCGCTGTGTTAGAGGGGGCAGATAGTGTTATTGTGGGGTTCCTTCCTTACCTCGTTCTTGCCTCTGAAGCCTCCCTGGCTGCCCACCTTCCTCATCTGAAAAAGGCTCCAGGGAGGAGCCTCCCTTGGGAGTGAATGGGGTAGAGGAAGCCAGGGAGGCTGCAGACTCCAGAGAAGATTGTGCAACAGGAGACAGGCCATTCACACAAGTTTGGGGTCTTTTGTACTAGATAAGTGCCAGAACCCCACACTCCATACAGGATGTTTTCTCTGAAATTCCCTTCTTCCCCTTTGAAAAAAAAAATCTCGCAAACCAGTTCTGTTTCTGTAATAGGCTGTGGGAATAACATTAAGAGGAGGAAGAGCTGCAGGTCAGGGTGAGGGTTCTCTGCTTTCCAAGGACTGGTTCACACCACAGTGTAGCAAATCTGTACACAATGCTTTATTAGAGCACACACCTTTCCCTACCACAGACTATTGCTCTCCACCCTTGCAAGGAGATGTTGCCATCTACATACATCTTAATACTCAGTCCTTTAATACTTAGTTCCAGCAAAAGTCTCAAAGTCTGCCAAGTGGCATACAGCCTTTGCCTCCTTCCAAACGTTCTTACACTAGTTGGGTTGAGGTGCTACCTCAGCGTGGCCGTTCCTCTTCTAGTTGCTCCTGAGCTCCCGGCAAAGCTCCAAGCAGGACTCCCACCAGGATACGCTGCTCGCTGTTGCTCTTGGCGGTTGGCTGATAGTCCTCTTGCCTGCTTATAAGGGCTGCCGGTCTGCAGATGTCACCTCCGCTTCCCTGTCCGCACGCCGTTTGCTCATCTCCTTTCCTCCTACACACCTACCCACACTCTGTCTCAGCATCTGCTTTTATAAACTGAAGGCCTGGGTGGGGCAGAGCTGCCTCTGGACATCAACACGTCCTTGAAAACACCAGGGTGGGGCTCAATTATCACAGGCAGCCGGAATGCCGCGTGGATGCTTGTGAGTAAAGATGTCGGTGAATGAATGCATGAGGGAAATGGAGCGGGAAGTGTTTCTGCCCGGCTGCAGCTACTTTTCCCAGGTGCAGACAGCAGTCCCAGCTTCACTCCCTCGGACTCAGATAAGAGAAATCGGAGTCCAGCGCGGGACTGTAACTTGAGAAAGTGCCTCCGACTGGACCCTCCCTAGTTCTCATTAGGATAAAGGCAGGGAGTGGGGAGGGGCGTTCAGAGTTGCGAGATTCTGTTACTGTAACCCTATAATAAAAGTAGCTTTAGCATTCATGACTTCAGTGTTCAAGTCTGGTCTACCCTGAAGGGCTGACATCAATCTGGCAACTTTGAATGTGTCTCCCCACTCCATGCATTTATGTTCAAGAGAACCCGGGAAGGTCCAGTCTGAGACGCTTTCTCCAATTCCATTCCTGCTTTGGACTCCGGTTTCTCTTCTCTGACCTCCTCCTCCTCCTCAAAGTTATTCTCACAGCCCATTACAGTTTCTGAATGGGGAGCAATAGGGAAAAAGCCAGGAGAAATTTTCTGCATGGCATTACCTGAAAATAAGTAGGCAACAGCCACTGAAATCTCAGAAGCTGAGTTGGGATGACTAAGACGCCCGGCCCGATTGATCGGAGCCACCTAACCCCAAGTAAACAGATCAGATGGTCCTATCAAAAAGATCTTTCAATTTTCAAAATGACCGTGCTGCTATTAAATTTCATCACACCACATTATGGGGGGGCATGCCCATAAATTTCAGTCTGCTCCATCTCTCCTCATCTAGGACCAGCAATGCCATGTAAAACCAAACCAAATAAAAGGGAAAAAAGAAAAAAGAAAAGAAAGAAAGCTATTGATCATATTTACCACAAGAAACTTTGAGGCCCCACCTGGTTTCCTCCACGGTTTGTCTTCGAACGATTCTAAATCCACCTCGATTACCGGCAAGCCGTTAATATTCCCCGAAGCCTCTAAATCAATACCTTTAGGCTGCGATTTGACTTTGAGGAAAGGAAAACAGATGGTTAGTGCTTAAGGCTGGGTTGGGGAGCTGTTTGCAGGGCGAGGAAATTGTTCAGCCCAAAAAAAGATAAATCTCTTCCCGGATAAATTTAGCTTCAGCTCCTGAGTTCTGCCCATTTGCACGTAAAACTGCTCTGTGCATGTGTGTGTGTGTGTTTCTCAACACAATTCATTGTTCTGATCTTTGGAAAGGACAATGGAGGGCAGAGGGAGAAAAGGAAGGAAGGAAAGGACAGTGACCGTTTGCTAATTAAATAAGCATAATTATTTAATAGCATATCTTACAAGGCCCGATCTGATCTGAGATAGCCCTACAAGCCACTTGGATAGCACTGAAAGTTAATTCAGAACAAAACATTAGTTTGCCCAAGGAAAAAAGGGTAAAAGAAAATAATGCTTCATTCGTACCTGATGCTGGTGCCCCATAGCCTCGACCCGTTTTTAGATTCAGGTTCATTGGAGTCCCCCTAGAAAAAGAATGAAAACCTTAACTGCAATTTCTGGGCAATCTCACACGGTTCAGTTCCAATCATCTTTATGAGGGTCTTCAACCAGTACAAGTTGAACAACAAAAGCAATTTAAAAAATGGGTCCCATTTGCTCGGCGGGTAGTTCCAATAATCTTCTGAACAGACAAGCTGACCCAGAAGAAGGGGTCAAGTAGAGTCTTCTTTGCAGAGATAACATTAGAAGAGAATATATGTAGCTTAGGGTTGAACTGTGGCGTCCTTGGGGCTTTCTGAGCTCAGAGAGCCCCAAGGACTCCACAGAGACAACACTGCTTGGGCTGGTCAACTTCCTTACAGTTGGGCTTCAACCCCTGCCCACAAGTCTTAGCTTGTTGGGAATTATGGGAGTTGGTCTTGCCCATCTGGATGGTGCCAGATTGAGGCATTCTGGTTTAACTGAAAGCTGTTTCACTGACTTTTGGGATCCAGCAGGAAGAGAATTAAAGCACAGTAGGTCCCCCAAAGCTGGCATGATTATGGCATGAAGCAAAGAATAGGATTTGGGAGAGGATGTAACACATACATGTAAGATGGGGCTCCAGTCTTGATGTTGCCAATCGTGACTCGAATGTCATCATCGTCACTGTCACTCTCCTCCTCCTCCTCTTCCCCACTAGGGATGGTCTACAGCAAAGACAATAACACATCAAGCATGAGAAACTAAATTAGCCTCTAGAACTAGGGACACGTTGCATTCTCTCTTCTTCTCAGCTTCATCTCAGTTAAGCCATGAACCATGAAGAGTTCTGGGGGCAGCAATCTTTTTCAGCCTTTTATTTTAGGACTGTCTCTACTTGATGCAACAATAATTGGGGCAAGGGGGGAGGAGGATTGGTCGGTTGATAGGAATGGCGACTGCTGATAGAAGTATTTATATGGTGCTTAAGAGCAGTGTCTCCCTTCAAAAGAGTGTCCTCCAGACCACCTTGGAAAGTAGCTATGGAAATGACTTCCCAGTTATTTCAGTTTGCCCAGTGGAAGCCACACATCTCTTTAATTGAAGAAAAAGCAAAGACGTCTAAGATGAACTAGTCAAATGCTACTTTGGGGGGATACAGCAACTGAACCCACTTGACTGACGAGGGGCACTGGCCCACCTTCCCCCACAAAGGCAGTATCTGGTTAGTTCAGCTGCCTGCCATTCATATTCTTGTCCCCTTCAAATGGTGCGCTACTGTGCAGGCTTAAATGGTTGACGTGAGAGATTGTGGGGAGGCTGGGAAAGAAATCTAAGGAAGGTTAGACATAAACAATCAAGGTACAGAAGGCAAGTCCACTGGCAGCTTATTTCATAACACCACCACCCACGTGGCAAGGAATGTGGGAAGAAGCATTTCAAAATATTCAAAGCAACTCTGCCTTAATGAATTCACTACAAAGAAGGCTAGGAAAGTCCTCTTGTAGGTCCCAAGATTTTCTGTTTTTCCTAAACTAACCTCCTAAACCATGTAGTTCTTGCTTCTTTGATTTTGCCCAGCTGCATGGGGCTTAACAGTTGGCTTATACACCAACCCACAACTGTTGTTGGCTTGTGTGTGTCAGCTGGCACCCTGGATCAGCACTATCTGCCTGTGCCAATGGGTGGAAGAGCTGTATGACAGCTGTCAATTGTGCCTGATGGCTTACCACAATGCATGAAGAAATAGAAATATACAGAAATATACAGCTCCTGGAGGAGCCCTCTAGTTTGAAAATGATTTGCATTTTCAGTGCCTGTTTCCATCTTCAATGTCTTTACAGATGATGCTGTAATACTGCTTCTTGTCTCTTCTAACAGCTCTCTGGAACTCTTAATTTCCTTTCAGAGGCCTTTGTCTTTCTTAGCTTTGGCTCCTGTTCTCTTCTCTTCTCGGGAATTTCCATGGTTTGTTCTGTCATCCAGTTTGCTTTCTTCTATTTCTTCATCTTTGGCAGTGTCTTTTCACGTTTGTTACTTTAAATCCATTCCACAGTTCCTCTGGTTCTCTATCAATGAAGTTCAGGATTTCAAAACAACTCCTGATGTTCTCCTTGAAAATGGTGGGTATGTGTTCAAGATCCTATAATGGAAACCAGTTGGGTTTCTTTTTCCACTTTAGCTCGACACACGAGCAGTTCTGGCCATATCTTTGCTATTATAACTGAGCTCTTCTACTTCCTTGTACCAATAATATAGTCAGTTTGATTGCTGTGTTTTCCATCTAGTGATGCCCATGTATACAGGCATGGTTTTGTTCGGAGACTGTTAGTAATGAAGAAATCATTGGGTTGGCAGAAGGTGATAAGTCATTCTCCTATTTTATTTGTGTTTCCTAGGCCATACAGTTCAATTGTATTCTCCTCCTCACATTTCTGACTTGGCATTCCAGTCTCCAACCACAAGCAACACATCTTATTCGCAAGGTCTATCAATTTCAAATTGAACCTTCGCCATAAATTTTATCAACTACCTCTTCTTCTGCATCAGTGGTTGAAACATAAGTGTGATTAATCCTCATATTAAAGGTTTGTCCATGAAGTCTAATTGATGTTATTCAGTTGTTGGTTGCGCTCTACCTAAATATTGTCTTTGCCACATTGTTCTTGATTATGAAAGCAATGATGCTCTTTCTGTGTTCTTTGTACCCTGAAGAGTAAATTGTATGATGCCTGAGATGTCAATATGTAGTTGATTCATGTCAACTTTCATTGGGCTGAGCTTTCCCATGTTCATCCTTCTTACATTCCATGATCCCACTGTAATTCTGTCTTTGCTGCTTTGTATTTTCTTTTCCTGTGTGGCAACATCAGCAAAAAGATGCCCTGAAGGCTTTAATTTAGCCATGTTATAAACACCATTAGTACTATAAAAGGTTCTCAGCTCTTCCTCAGTAGCATGTTGAGTGTCATCTGACCTGAAGGAGCCATCACCTGGCACTATATCCTCAATTATTTTATGCTGTCTATCCATGTGGTTTTCTTTTTTCTTTTTTTCAGTTATTTATTTAAAAAAAATTAAGGAATAAAATGAATGTCTACATAAATGAAAAAAGAAGAAAGTGAGAAAAGACAGTGGATGGCAAATAAACTATCAGTAAATAAACAGATAATTTACAATGGTCATAAAATTTAAAATTCATTATTTCATTGATTAAATAATTAATTGAATATGTAAAACTAGACTCATTATATCATGTTGAGAAATAGTTGTAAACCACTTCAGATATCCACATGATTTTCTACTGCCTTCTCCAACACAGCATGAAATGATGTCTTTGCCGTTTTCACTAAAGTGATCATCTACCTCCAGCATCTTCCTTTATTGCTTCTGCTCAGTATAGGTGCCTGCGTCAGGCCCAGCCCAAGAACAACGGTGAAACAGTCGAGTTCAGTTCCTTTATTCGCTTACACCTTCTAGACAGAATCTTGCCAGATTAAATCTACGCTACTGCAACAAGTGGATATACCCTGAGAGATTCTAGGGAGTGGCTATCCTGAACCTCTTTTGCTTCCCATGCTTCTCCTGTGGACTGTATTGCACCCTCTCCTTCCTGATAGCCTTGCTCTCTCACATCACTCTCCTCTTTGTAGATACATTCCATCACAGCCTGCTTGTTTTAGCTGGGCAGCTGGGGTGATCTTCGCACCGTGGGTGACTCTGCATGAATTTTATATTTTTGGCATACACTCCCGGTGGTCTCTGCTCATCTCTCCCAGGATCACCCCACCCCTGCCACAATGAAGCAGCAGAGCCGGACTTGAGGGCTTAGGTCCCAACTATTGCTAATTTAAGCTCTGCTCATCATTGACATACAGCCCCCCATGGATTTCTCTTGTGAATCCAGCCAGCCCTTAACAGAAAAAACAAAACAAAACAGTTATTGTCCATGCTGGACAAGACTAGCCCAACACATTTGGCAGATATGTGATTGGGAAAGGCTGTACTAGACTTTCTACTTGAGGAGCATCACTTACTTGGTGCAAGAGTTCTTGGTCTTCACTGATAACAATCCTGGTCTCCTTAGGAATGTCTTGTAATGGATGAGATTCTGTGTGTCTGATAAATGTAAACACAAAAATAAGGACAACCCATATTTCTTAGGGCTGTGTCCCAAAGTTTCCCATTTGCAACTTCTAATGATTTTCCAGCCAATAAGATACAGATTACATTGACCAATCAGTAAGACAATTGATCCTCCACCTGCAGATGTCAACATCTAGTGTCATGCTTGGCACACTCAAGTCACTTTGTTTTATATATATAACAAAGAAATGTGACTAAAAGCAGAGTTTAGAACCCCAAATGAGAAGAATAAAATGCAAATAAAACAGTAAAGCAATGGCTTTGATCCTGGGAATAATCAAAAGTGGCAAAGCTATACATTTAATGCAGACTTCCGTAACTTGATGTGCTCCAGAAATGTTGAACTACCCTCCTATAGTTTTCAACTATCTCCAGAAAGCTTGGCAAAAGCTTGCTAAGTGTTATGGAGACTGAAGTCCAGCAGATCCAAAGTGCGTCATGTTACAGAAGGCTGCCACCTGCTCTAAACATGTTTGGCTCTGAATGAAAAACTTGAAGATTTACCCAGATATTGGTCCATCTTCTGGCTTCCCATTGTCATCTGAAAATACAAAGAAAATAGGGAGAAAGACAAACACTAATTAAAGGCAAAGATAAACCATTCCACATCTGTAAAAAGAACTCTGTGTAGCCTTAAGACATGCGTTCCTATTGACCAAATATGATAGAATATGAGGAGGAGTTTGGGATGTGGACAGAGAAGTAAGAAGGAGAATTGCTTTCCCAGACCGTCACTGTACTCTGCCTCTTCCTGGTTTATGTCTCTTTATTTCTAACCACTGTGGCCCCCAAGCACCAATTCTTCTTTAAGTCTCCTTTGAGCTGACCCAACCCTTGATGACTTTGTGGACATTTCCATGGAGCTTTCTTGACAGGCACATGGAAGTGCTTTGCTACTACGTTCTTCCAAGATATTTTGCTGTATTTACTTCCCAGTTACCCCAGGATTTCCTAATGATCTTTTGCTTAGTTTTTCAAGATCAGCTTGGTGGGATTCTCCCCCACTTCCCTTCTTTCCAGCTCATATGGGTTCCCATGTTAGGATGGTTTCAACCCCCCACAACACATTCAGTGAAGAAACCCTGGCTTTTGTTGAGGCACCACATAGTTGTGCATCTCTTCCTGAGTTGATATGATATAGGTCTATCTTATCGTCTATCTATCATCTATCTCTATCAATCTCTTCCTAGTGAGATGGGTGGTGACCAAATTTGAAATCCATCCATCCATCCATCCATCCATCCATCCATCCATCCATCCATCATACAAATCTTAATAATGTAAAGCAGCCTACCATCACACAACAGCCCCTAGGGACAGATCTTCAACTCCCAGAATGCATTAACCAGTATGACCCTTGAAAAGGATTCTAGGAATTGAACTCCACACTCCTGGAGATGCCCAGGATGGACATGGCTGGTTTAAAGATGCTTTGATTCTTAAAATCTACACAACATACCTATAATAGGCTGCAAGCAATTTTTGTATGTCTTAACACATTGTTAAGGCAGCACATTAAGGCAGATATCTAACTGTATTGTGGAACAGCAACCGTCTTCACTTGGTTCTTCCCAAACGAAATATGTCCACAGACCCAAAGGATTCTTTCTGGTGATTCTTTAGTGGTTTGTTTATTTGCTAGATTTTTAGGTCACCCCCTTTTATGACTGTCAACAATTTACAGAAATAAAGCATCCATAATACAACAATATAAACTAAAATACTAGAACCATAAAAATGATCATTAATTTAAAATTAAAAGAGGACCCTAATAACAATTAGCACTGTGTTAATGAATTAATTTGTTTTAAAATCCCTCTGGGAAAGCTCCATTTTGACCAATTTCCAGAAAATCAGCAGGGATGACTTATGTGCAGGCAAGAGAAGCTCTCCTTGTTCACACAACACACCAAAACAATAAAATCAATTGCATTTAGAGTTATTGTGTTGTGCAAATCCAGCTTATGTGCTTCATTTGTGGTTCAGTGTGTCATGCCAATGCAGAAAATTGAGTTAATTCCATAAATCATGGCTAAGTTAATCCTGAGTAACTATATTTAGCATCCAGGCTTGATTAGCACAGGGGTGGACAAGCTTCAAATCCAGACTCTCCAGCACCAACATTTTGCAGTCCTTGGATGGCGCGGCTGAAATTTGACAATGCAACTGCCAAATGTCCACCAAGAGTTTGCTTGTCAGTTTGAAATGGGAAGCAAAAGAAAAGGGAGAAGCTTAAAGAGATGTCCTCAACAAGTTTTTATTATTTAACTTTTTTATTATTTAAATTTGTTATTTAAATTTGTTATAGCTGCCTGACTCTGACGGACTCTGGGTGACAAACAAAACAAAAAACAGTAAAAACAGAAGAATTCGAAACAAACAGCTTTGCCGGAAAATCCAGACCCAGCTACGTCCCTGGGACATCTATTTTGCATGACATCCACCTACTGCACTCTCGGCCTCCCTAAACATCAACTGAGCCTTGGGGTCACCAAAGGAATATCCAACCTGGCTGAAAAGCCTTGTTGGCCAGGGGAACTACGTGAGAATGACCCAGCAGAGTATTGCTCGGTCAGGATGAAGTTCTAAAGAATTCAGCCATTACCTCAGAACACAACTTCCGGGAGAGATGAAGCAATTCCTGACCAGGATGAAGTCCAAAAGGAAATGCCACAAAAATGCAAAGGACAGTGGACATAAGGACATGAGAGCATTCTCATGAGAGGAGACCACTGCATCCTTGGCTTGTCTCTGCTGTTTAGCTGGTGTGACTGGAAAGCAAAAAGCCTCTTGGAAAGAAGGAGGAGGATGATGATCAAGCCCCAGCCACCAAGTCCTAGGAAGGGAGGTGGAAAGAGTTGGGTACATTTGGCCTTCAGAAAAGACAACTGGAGAAGCGATGATAGCATTCAAACACCGTAAGCAAGATGACCAAGGCTCTTCTCTCGTGTCTCAGATCAGGAGACAGAATAATACTTGCAATAATTTGCAAGAAAGCAAATTCCAGTTGAATATTGGAAAAGCATTCCAATAAGAAGGGAGAAGAGCGGTTTGGGTGCAGAACCAAGCAATGAGCAAGCGAAGCGGCAGGCTCCCTTTTGCTGGATGTGTTTGGACAGAGCCTGGACAGCCTTCTGGGGGAGAGGCTTTTTAGGATTCCTGCATCAAGCAGAGAGATGGACTGAGGCTTTTCCAACTGCAGATTTCCAGGTGGACAGTCAGGGAAGTTTTCTGCAGCAGCAAATGCAACAGAGCCCAGCGGTCATCATCCTTGTGAACCTGTCCCTGGACTATGTTGACTCTGAGGTGCAAGGACAGACAAACCGCAGACAGCTCACCCATAAAGGGTTATTGTGCTTAGACGAGAAATCAGGGAGGAAGCCAAGCTCAAATGTGCTTCACACATCACATTTCCTGGGCAAAAAGGATGCGCATGAATTCCGATCTGTGGCCTATTTTGATACACCCATTAGCAGGCTGACTGTATAGTTTATGGGTCTGCAAATGGATCAGCACACCTCCCTTGCGTAGGATCGGTAATCGCTCTCTGTATGCAATGCCAACTCCTTTAAACTTTTGCAAAGTAAAACTCACACTACCGTACAGGGACAAGAGTAACCGTTCCAATCAAGCAGAAGGCAAGGAAATGGCATTTCCTTTAGTGCTGATCTGATGAATGGCCTACGAAAGCAAAAGATCAACTCTTGGTGGTGATGGCGTGTATGAGAGTTCATTTCCTCTACCCAATATGTTCCTCTCTCCTTAAGTGCTGTGCCTGTCTAAATAGTTCGCCTGAGAGATTTGCTCTTATTGTACTATTAATTCATTTTGGGTGCAGTTACCTATCTTTGTTTATTTCAAGCATGTATGCCTCAAAAGGAAGGTAACCGCGTTGATGGCATATATACAGAACCAAGGGTTCAGTTGCATCTTCTCAAGAGTAGCTTATGGCCTGATGACTCAATCCTTAAAATCCTTTAACACAGACCTGGAACCAAAATGCTTCAACACGCTGTTCCACCATAATAATCTAAACACATTGAGGAAGAGGAAGAGGAAGTTGTTCCCTAGCCTGAGTTATTTTTGATACCATCTAAGACAGGGTTCCTCAACCTCAGCAACTTTAAGATGGGTGGACTTCAACTCCCAGAATTCCCCCGGCCAGCATGGAGTTGAAGTCCACCCATCTTAAAGTTGCTGAGGTTGAGGAACCTTGATCTAAGAGTTCTGTTATGGCTTACGCTACCCAAGGAAACAAACCGGGATACTTTTTTCTTGGTATGTGTCTACAAACCCCTGGCTAACTATTTTTAACTAAGGACTATCCCATCAATAATTTTAAAGTCTGAAATAACGTTGCTAAGAAACAGAGCATAAAAAGCAACCCTTGATGAATGTCAGGCAACCCACAATATTGACTGATGAAGATTTTAGGTCTCACGGAGGTCCTACTATTTAGGCACTTCCGGTAGGTAAGGAGTTAGCAGTTTGTAACCTAATAAAGCCAACTTTTCTGAAAGGGACAGAGCAGCCTTACTAGTTTCATTCTTATTCTTTGTCACAGTAACATCTGGGAACTAAACAGCTTAAAAATCAGTCAAGCACACTTGTAATTCACAGCCTCAGGAAACTCTAATTTGATCTTCCACATTAATTTGTCCTCCATGTTCTTAGATGACTCGCCTACTGATTAAACATGGCCACTGCAGATACTTATTTGGAAACAAACAAACAAACAAACAAACAGTAGTATCCTGGAACATGTCCCTTAGCCTACAATCCTTGCGTAGCTTGATCCCATGATCCAATTTTATCCATGTTGGTTTAGCCCTGCAACTCTAACTCAGCTAGATCCGCAGAGATGGCTCAACAAGGCTACTTCTGAACCATGCATTCACACGCAGAACAAAACACCAGCATGCTAGGACTGGAATTTGCTACACTAATTTTACAAACCCTGCAATGGCCAAGAAAGACTGGGATTCCTGCATGTTTCCACCAAGAATCGAAAGCCGCCTATCCTCACAACAATCTTATGGGACTGATAAGGCTCATGGACTGAATAGTCCAAGAAGAGGAAATGCCTTGCAATCAAACAAGGATTACCTTTTTGTTCCCTGTTCTTAATCTAATATTCCAGCTGCTGAATTAATGCACTGAATGACAACTGGCTTGCTGATTAGGGCTAAATATAATCTCTGCCTGTATTCAGGCATGATGCTAAAGCAGAGTTTAGTTTTAAGGGCAAAAAAGGAAATTATAGGAAAACCATTCAGTTGCAAGGTGGTTATATGCAAGCCAGGAAATCTGGCTTGATAGAAACTCCAGCTAGTTTTAACAAGGCAGCCAAACAATACAAGGTTTGCAGATAGCTGGATTAACAACTGGCAAGTGTTACCTTTTAAAACACAAACCTTGGTTTGTACTGAACAACCAGCAAACAGCCAGGAGAAATGAAATGCAACTATTTCTTCTCCTGTACCTGCAAGAAGAAGAGAACTAAAGTCTTGCTCATTATTATTATTTTTGCTTGTGCACAGAACTTTAAATCATGGTGTAGTGTTGTGTTCCAAGGCACTGTATCAAAAAACCACCCACTGGCCTCCAGTTGCTAATCCAATGCGAAAATGGAGGAATACCAATTTTTGCCCGCTCTCCCTGAATCTCAGTACTGGAGAAATGACAATGAAAATGAGCGTTCTTTTAATGACACTCATGAAAGTCCACAATCTGGTTTCATCTCAAACGCTGTCCCTTCTACAACCCCATTCTGGGCAAGCGCAAGTCTGCCTCTTCCAAGCAACGCTCTGAAATACCTAGTTCTACCACGGGTTTTCTTTGAATTACTTACTTGGAAGAGGGATCTTCCTCTTTTTTCAGGCATCTCAATTTTACAAGCAGTTGGGCAGAAGGATCCAACCAGGACCCTCACCTGAACTTCTCCTGTTCCCTGTGACGGTACCATCCACTAGGCCTCGCTTCCCCTTATTCCTAGAACTGCCTCCATGACAAGCCACCTCTCCAAATTCCTCCTTATAACCTCCCCCAAGCTTTTGGAAGTCTCTCCTCAAGCCTCCTTGTCTGCTGTGATTAACCCTGGGTAGGTGTCAACCCACCTGAACGCAGGTTCCCCGCCCACCCCTTCGAGTTGAAGCTCACCTTCCATTGGCGGTCTTCCCTGTGCTTGCTTTCCTATCATATTTATACTGTAACCTCCGTGGGGCAGGACCCGGTTCCCTCTTCATTCCTCTACAACCGACAGATGTTGTAATCAACCTCAGTCGGTTCCTGGACGGTGCCAGTGGTTTGGGGAGAATCTTTCTTAACTCCAGGTGAGTTTTTCTTTGCCTCCTTTAGCACACTGACTCAGAGTCCCCTGAAACATGGTTTCATCAAGCACGAGACCCAGGCCAGGATCACCCAGCACCCCGGCTGAAAAGGCAGTCCGGCCCACTGTGCGAACCCAACCCGGGTGGGTGTCGTGCGAGCCACCATCGCTTCTTCTGGAAGGCAAGACGGAAAGTCGCCAAGTGATCAAAGAAAGGGGAAATGCTACGGTCTGCTCCTGCCCCCTTCCCACCTTCCGGAGCCTGGAGCCCCGCAGCCGGCGCAGCCCTCCCCACCCGCCCACCTTCCCATCGTTTCGACCTTGCAGGGCTGCCCTACAGTTTCCCAGCCCTCCCCGGTGCTTTGGGGTCTCCGCGGCCGCAGCGTCTGCGTGACCCTTTGCCCCGCGGCTGGCGCCCGCCTTGCTCGGAGGGCCCCGGCCGAGTCGGAGGGTGGCTGACCCACGCGCCCCGGCACATCGGGCGGCGCCCCTCTGCGCGGGGGAAGGAGGGGGCTGAGGCCCCCGCCCGCCCTTCCTGCGAACGCCCACAGAGGGGGCTG